GAGATATCGACACACCTCTAAACAAACTACCCCTCCTCCTCCAGACAGATTCACTCTTTAGGTTGAATGATTTTCAGTGGAGAATAAAGGACTTGCAGAGCTCTGGGTGTGGTTTTAAAGATGTTTTTTTAATTTAATCCTGCAGCTGCTGGTTCTGTTGGTTTCTATTGTTGAGTTGATGATGTGTGTTTTTAAATCTGTCAGCGTTTGATGCTGATGATCTGTAAGTGTTGAAGGAGCTGTTTTCATGTTTTGTTTAACGTTTAACTCGGCTGCAGGATATTTCCCAGCAGCAGGAGCAGAGCTTCTGTCTCTGTCTGGAAAAGCCTCTGCTGCTTTGATCTGCTGTACTCTGGCCCCCCGGTGTCGTGTTTGGTGTTTTTAGTTGCCATGGTGTTGTGACAGTTGTGACGGGGTGCTGGTGACTCAGAGGAATGAGCTGACTGGACTCCCTGTTAAAGAAGGTTTTATTGATACACAGAGAGACGCTCAGCAGCTCATCTGCGTCTGTCCAGTGTTTCCTCAGGAACAGATGAGGCCTTCAGGCTCACACAGCCGCTCTTCTTCTTCTGTGGTTTTACTGCGACACATGTTCCCTCCCTGGAGGACCAACCTCCAGCTGCCAGCTGCTGTCCCTGCAGAGCTAAAAACATGCTAACATGGACAATGTTGTTTTTAATTTATTTATTTATTTATTTATTTATTTATTTATTTATTTATTTATTTATTTATTTATTTATTTATTTCCTTTAAAAACAAAACAAATTCACATACAACTAAAAGTCATAAAATGAAAGGCAGCAGAAAGAAGAAAAAATCTTGGATCTCAAATAAGTAATAAAATAAATAAAAACTTCAACTCCTCAAACAGCAGCTCTAATAAATTCACACACAGTTTCATATTTCTTTAACAAATTACCTTTTTTTCTTTTAAACAAATAAATTAAACAGCATTTTTGTAATCACTATTTTATTACATACAGTGGATTTTAAAAAGCACATTTCCCAGATTAAAAAAAATAAATCAGAGTGGTTTACAATAAAATGAAAAGTGACCATATAATAACTACATTAGTGGTGTATTTGTGTGTAAATTGTTTGTGTGGTTGGTGTTCCGTTTACACTTAGAAATATGTAATCACTACTTTTATTTATTTTATTTTGTTGGGGGAATGTCTGAAATAAAATCTTAACTCTTTAAAACATTTTACAAATAAAAGTACAGTAATTTTATAAAATCTTGCTAAACAAAATCTTGTCTAAATAAAAATATCTTCAGTCTGTTTCTAATAAAAGCACTTCCTCCTTATTGTGACCCGATCAACAGTTCCACTCAGATTTTATGAGATTCAAACAAGCTTCAAATGATCTTCCAGTTTTTTTCTGTTTGATTCACAGAAGCATAAAAATGAAAAGACCAAATGTTTCATGTAAAAGTGATTATTTATCCAGCTAGAACATTAAATTTCTCAGCTGTCAATCACAGGTAAAGACTCGTTAATCCAGTTTTTCTTCACATAATCCTGGATCCCACTGCATAAACTGTAAGAAACAAAGTCTTTTAAACAGAGAGAATAAAAAGCTGAAGTTTAGCTGCAGATAGGCAGATAAAGGCTGGTGAGGATGAGGCACAAAGCAGCCAGGAGCCCCACCTTTGTGTGGTTTGAGGTGTGGCACCAGGTAGATCAGTCTGTTGGAACCGAGGCAGACAGAACCTGGTCCGACACGTTCAGCTTTCATTGTAAAAGGATTCTGCAGGAGAATAGAGAGAAACAATACTGTCTGCAGCCTGCAGATCCCAACTATCTGCAGGAAGTAGACTTATCACGGAGCACATTTCCTGTAATGTTTCACTATCAGAGCAGTTTCATCTGGTTCAGGATGAACTCCTTCATTTAAATTCACACCAGCTTCTGTTTGTGTCTGAAGCGTGTCGAATGTTTCCTGCAGCAGACACAGTCTGGATCAGAACCGTTTGTGTCGAGTCAAACCTGTTCTTCGGAAGTAAAGGGAAGTGTTGGTGTAATTAGAAGTGGGTTAATATTAGCTCCAGCTTGTTAGCCGCTGAGTAAAGTTTCTATATTTAAGCAGAGGGAAACTTTAACCATGTCTCTGAGGCAACACACTAAACATCGTCATGTTACTGATCCATTCGAGCTGCTCCTGTCAGCTTTGTTCAGATCAAATCTGTCTTTTATTCCTAAAATGGCAGAAGAGGCCGGTGGTCCTCAGATCAGCTGCAGCTCTCAGCCTGGAAGCATCACGACTCGTCTGCCGGGAAATAAGACGAGTGCTTCACATGATGCAGCACCGCCGTGACTCTGAGTGTGGAAATATTTCAGTTTGTAGCTGCAGAGGAGCAGTGGCTGCAGAGAGGAGCAGTGGCTGCAGAGAGGAGCAGTGGCTGCAGAGGAGCAGTGGCTGCAGAGAGGAGCAGTGGCTGCAGAGAGGAGCAGTGGCTGCAGAGAGAAGCAGTTGGCTGCAGAG